GCGGGAGTTACTGTTTGGAACCAGAAAAGAGCGCACTAACCGCCGCGGGGACGGGGATCGACCCCCGCAGCCCCGGGGACTCTGCTCCGGCTCCCGAGCGCCGGAGCAAACTTTGGCGGGCCCGAGCATCCCTCGGGCCCGCGGCGCAGAGCACGCGGGGCCGGGAAGGAGAAGGCGGTCACCTTCATCGTGTCACCGGGCGTGCCGCAGTGCCGTGCCGGGCTGCCGGGCGCGGTGCGCACCCAGTAGGTCGGCGAGCTCCGGGCCCTGGATCCCGTGGGCTGCAAGGGTGGGCGTGAGTGGCGGCCCCTGCGTGAACTCTGGGTGCGGGGTCAGGACGCTGGGAAACTCGGTTGCACTACCACCTTCCCCGCACAGCCGCCACGTGCCCGGGCCAGAGGACTAATGCTCTTCCCTCCTCTGGGAAATGGGGAAGGCGCTGGATGTGTGCCCACGAGCCCACCCACCGGCGGCCCGGCTCCCTTCTGGCCGGAGAATCTTCCTCTCCAGGTGCAGTTTCCTCCCTCGCGCAAGCCTCTAGTGGCGCTCCAGGACAGGGTGCCTCCTTTTGGCCAATGCCCTCAGGGAAGGCTTCCTGGCCTCGAAACGGACCGGGGGTGTCGGAAGGGGCGGGACCCGGCTGTGGCGTTTCAGGAAAGGTAGTACTCTGGGGTCCCGGACATCTCGCTTGCCTCCTTCGTGTGGTTATACAGAGGGAATCGTGTAAGTGCATTAATGAAAGCTTAAGTCTAGGACTCTCTTAGGAACAGCAGTAGGAGCAAGGTGCCAGTTCTGATCCTATCAGCGACTCTGTGACTGAGCAAAGTCTCTTCTCTGGGGCTCATTTTCTTCATCCGTAAAAACAGAGACTTGATCCAGCGGCCATCTGGCTCTTGCCACTCTGGCCATTCTCCTTTCTGTGTGACTGTGCTTCCCTAATATTATCTCACATTCTCAAAATCATCCAGATAGCTTTGCTTTCCTCCCGCCCCGCCCCCAGGAGAAACGGAGGCACTGAGACTGGATACTCTGCTCAAGATGTGACATTTCTCCTGGGGGGGGGGGGGGAACTGCACTGGACCCAGACACTGGGAAGCCCGTGTACGACTAAATGAGGTAGAGTGCCACAGCTCTGAAGAAATGGACGCCTTCAGAATCTGAACTCCAAGGGGCCGGAGGGTCACCTCTTTTGCAATCTTTGTATGACAAAGAAAGCACGGCAGGAACACACAGAAACCAGGCACTGAGATGGCTACACCAGCATCCACTGAAGGCCCTGCTCAAATGTTTATTTTGCACAAAACCGAGTTCTTTACAAATACCAGCTGATTGCACACCAGCCCAACGAGCAGCCATGGGAAGACTACATTTCAAGTCGTCTTATCGGTTTGGCTTCTTGCGAACTCCTCTGGTCACAGACTCCAGGGTAGAAGAGCTATGGGCAAAATTGGTGCAGGCGATTTTCAGATTCTCTCTGGGGCTTGTTTGTTCGTGGGAATTCCAGTCTTCAGCCCTAGCCTGTGAGCCCTTGAGGCGGCAGGGACTGCCCTGCTCGGATCCGTGGCCCCCAACCTTGGTGCCCTCAGTAAATGACTCCCAAATTGGATCGGATTGCTAATGATGATTGTTGCCTGGGCTAGTGCTCGATCTGCTAGAAAATCCTTAGAGGAAAACCAGAACGTCTACAATTAACATTTAAATGTGGTGATAATGGTCACTTTGTATTCACTTTTCTCACCAGATTATATTGATCGTGGAAAGACAAAAATATATACACAAAGTGCTGGGGAAATACATTTCCTACCGAAATAAAGCTGCTCCTTTAAGAGTTGCAGCCCCCCCATCACCCCACTGGTGCACTTTCTTCCCAATCAGCGGGAGGACCAAGCAGAAGCAGAAGGAGCCAGCAAGAGGCAGCACTCGGCACAGAAGTGCCCGCGGGAAGGAGAGAAGAGACAAGTGGGGTGTGCCGCTGCTTCAGAAAAGGGATGGGGGGCTTTCTCTTCCCGAGATCGAAACCGGGAGGCGGGGGGAAGGGTGGATGGACTGGGCGGAAGGGGCTCGCTCCCAGCCACCCTCCTGGGATGGGGAGGGCCTGCGACTGGCAGCAGGAAGGGGCCAGGCCGTCCCTGAGGCCAGCCAGGCTGCCCAGGCCCAGCACGCACTCACTGGCATTGTCGGCTCCCAGGTGGGGAGCAGCTGGCCTTCTCCCTTCCTCGTCTTCCTGCCCCTCTCGGGCTCTGATGGGGCCCCAGAGCCTTACAAGCCAGCTCCTTATGGATCTGCAGATACGCCTCCAAGCCACGCTTCCTCAGGCGCGCTGGCGGGAGGAAAGGGAAGGCAGGTTGCAAGGAGGACAGTAGCAACAGAACGTGAAAAAGGCTGTCCGCAGGCAGAGCCAACCGCGGCCCGCAGACTGGTGGCTCAGCCACCTACTCCCTGGGGTCAGCTCCTTCCCTCCTCTTCCACTCCCCAGGGCATCTTAGCTACGGAAGACTCCTCTGGGCCAGGCTGTGGGCGGGGCTTTGCCTGGAAAAGCCCCTCTCTGATCTGGCCACACCACTCTTAGTTCAACCCAATATTCCAGAAGCTGCGGCCTCTCCAACTCGGACCCTCCTCTCTCTGCTGGCTTCTCCTATTCTCTGTGACCAGGCCCCCTCCACACCTCACCGAACCCCCCTATTCAAAAACCCTGACCCAGAGAACCTCCTGGGAGGGCCACTGGCCCAAGAGAAAGCCACCTTTTCAGAGAGAAAGGAATCAAAACAGACTTCGTGACTCAATCTCTTGAGGTAAAACCAGAAATCATTTTTTAAGATGCTTGATTGTGTAGGAATGCCAATTCTCTTACTTTCCAAAGGGACATTTTTTGACTTGAGTTACTTAAAAAAAATGTTTTTGATGTTTATTTTTTAGAGAGAGACGCTGCATGAGCAGGGGAGGGGCAGAGAGAGAGAGAGAGAGAGAGAGAGACAGAATCCAAAACAGGCTCCAGGCTCTGAGCTGTCAGCACACGGTCCAACGTGGGGCTTGAACTCACGGACCTTGAGATCACAACCTGAGCCGAGGTGGGATGCTTAGCCAACTGAGCCACCAGGTGCCCCTGACTTGAGCTACTTTTAAAGGAATTTAATTTGGAGCCTCCGGGTACTAATCTTCATTTCAAAGAACTTGAAATCTTTGATTCTTAACAGGTGTAGTAAAGGCACCATCACGCAGGTTCTGGTAGATAGTGTCTACGGTTAAGATTAATTTAAGAAAGTTTCACTGTTGATGTCGGTTCCAAGAAATGAACACAAAGACAGCGTGTGATACGTACGTCATCCTGTCACGCCTCCGATTTCCACTTAAAATATTAAGCATTTGTTTCTGACCTGGTGTGCGTCAGGCCCAGTTACTCTCTCTAGGAGGAAATCCTGACCAAGGTAACAACTCATCTGAGGAAGCCTGCTTGAGAGAATTCCGTGGGCTCCATTTGGGAAGCGTCACCTTCCGCAACTGGATTTTCCTCGGTAGAGCGGGCTGGTGCTGTCATGAGTTTGGAAGGGACCAGTGTGATTCTCCGAATCTGAGGCCATTATCACATGTGGGCGAGACAATCCAGAATGATTCTCGTCGAAGGAGCATTTCGACCCTTTCTAACTTCAGAATATCTGTATTTGTCCCGTGCAAGTGCTCCCAGAAACTGGAAGCCACATGAGGGCGGGGCCCAGGTCCGTGTCGTCAAAGCCCAGCACAGGATCTGACGTGTAGCGAGTCCCTGCAGGGTCTATCCACCTGCTCTCTGTGAGGGTGGCAATCCCAGGAGTCGATGTGAAATTAGATCGGGACAACCCTCTGAATTTAGGATGAGCCTCATGAATACACATGTGTAATATTTTTCCCAACTTCTGGTTCTACCACTTTGACTTTGGACCTCAATCATGTATCACAAGGGAAAGTCCCTACTCTCGGACTGTCTGATTATTGCAGCCGGTGACCCCATCTCAGAAATCTTCCATAGTCCCTGGCTCTGGGCGCCTACTGGGTCCTAAATATCCACTCCCGCTAACTTTATCTTACTGCTTAATCACTGCTTAATTCGGTGTCCGGTAGTGAAGGTGATGCTGTCACGATTTTCTGTGGTACATTCCTGTGACTCTTTGTACATCTTTAGCATAAGAATAAAGAGATGATGTTGACTGAGCTTTTATTATGGACCAGGAGCTATGCTAAGCATTTTACCTACCTTATTGCATGTACTCCTTGCCAGGACTCTCCAAGGTAGGGGCTACTATTATGCATATCTTGCAAGAGGAAGCTGAGGCTCTCAGAGGCTGAGTACTTGCCCAGGGTTACAGAGCTCCTAAGTGCCACAGCCAGGCGTCGTCCCCAAGTTGGATTGCTGCCAAGGCTCAGGTCTAATCCGTGCTGCCCCACAGCCTCCACTCTACTCCAGCAAAGGCTTTCCTCCCCCTGGGGGGGGGGGGGGGGGGAGTGGGGAGGAATCGAGGAAGGGACCATTATCTTCATTTGACGGTTGAGGAAACAGGTCAAGTGAC